ACACACACACACACACACACATCATTTACCATTAATGTAATATGAGTTACACACCATGTTAATATCAGTTGTTAATGACTGTTACAATATCACAAGGAAATCTAATCATGTTATCATAAATTATTACAAAAACAGAATGATGCAGCAGCTTGAGATAAATGATATAATAAAACACATGATATTATTATTGTTATTATTATTATATCATTTGTTAAATTTAAATTTTTTTGGGGGGGGGTGGGCATTTTCAGAAGCTAGCCAGGCTCTGTCCGACTAACTGACTTACATGTTATTTCTTGTTTGTTTCATTCGTTCAAAAACAAAAATGTAAAAAAAAATAATAATAATTTGGCAACTATGGTTTCAGGCTGGTTGCCGGGCAACAGCTCAAACTCTAAAAACTAAACTAAACCAAGTCTTGCACGGTTTCCAACAACGTGTTAAATTGTGAGCCCGGCTGGCTGCATCCCCTGTTTCCCGGTCTCACTGTGGCCACACATTTAGCACAATGAGACAGTGGGTATCAACCCTCTCACCCAACTCTCAGCAAGAAAGCAAATCTCCCAAAGTGTGTACTTCTGATTCATCTACACTTCACCAGGCTTAACAGCTGGGTTCGCAGACACCTCCTTCCCCCTGCTGCCTTGACAAGGTTGTTGCGTGCTGAACGCTGCTGAACCCTCTGCCTCTGAACGCAGAGCTGCAGCAGATAGAGCAGCGTGTAGAAACCAACTGTACAGATGCATTACCGACAAACAAAAGTAGAGCATCTGTTTAGTTTCATGATAGAAAAATATCAAAAGTGCTGCTTGAGATTCAACAGCATGTATCGGGCCCCTGTAGCTCTGGGCCCCCCTGAAAGTATCCCCCCTCTCCCCCCTGATTAGCGGAGCCCCTGCCCATTGTTTGTGCTCTAACATATTTCTCTGTCTTCCCTATCATCAGTGGGCTGCAAATAATTGCAACCTGAACCCCTGCTAGCTCCAGGATGCTCCCTGACCTCTGACGGCCCCCGCCGAGATGGAAGCCAGAGGGGGGGCGGCCTGCCACGCAGAGACCACATTGATTTCCACGTTGCAGCCACGCTAGCAAGGTTAGCTGCACCGTACCCCAGCAGCAACACCCTTACGCACCGTTTGCATCTGCTCCAGGAGCTCTGAAACCCTTTCAGCCCACAACACAAATCAGAGATCCCTGGATCGAAGCCCGAGACCAGAAACATTCAGCCACTTGTTGTACGTAGGGACAGACGAGCAGCTTCAACCCTTACAGCTAAACGTCTGCCAGAGCTTCATATTTGATTTATTTCTATGGTAAACAGGCAATAAGAAAACCCGGCGTTTGCTCAATGCAACCAATCCCCCAAGCACTGCTCTCCGGTCTGCGGCTTTAACCAGCAGGCTGCAACCTCTTCAACCATGAAGTAGACCTGGAGCAGGCAGGAGGAGCCCACCATTGGAGTTCTATTGTACCCCGATAGTTATACAGTCTTACTCACTGTCTGACTCCCTGTGTATTCTAATAGACCTTATCAGCTGGCCTGGAGAGCACTCTGCATCAACTGACAAGATAAACCTGAAATAGATCAAACAGCAGCGGGAAGATTTCACTGCGAGGCTTCAGGGACGAGTTCATCTTTGGCTTTTGCACCTACACACACACACACACACACACACACACACACATGCATGCTCCTTGCTCGAGTACCTGGCCATCCCTTCTACCTATTTAACCTCTTTTTTAAGAAGAAGCCCAGAATAAACAAAAAAAACAAACAAAAAAAGCCCCCACAAGTGGACTTAAGTCGCAGATGGACACACAGCAGCAGGCCCTGGCATTGTGGAGGAGGAGTGTGTGTGTGTGTGTGTGTGTGTGCTTATGGTCATACATGTGCATCATGTATGTAGAATCTACATACTGTATTTTTGTTTTGGTGGGTGAATTCACATCCATGCATGTGGGATCAGTGTAGCTCACGTGTTACCAGTTTGGCTCTATAAATAGCCTCGATTTTATTTAGATGTTGGAGAAAGAGAGAGAGAGAGCTCTCAAACGAGTTGCCATAGCAACAGGCACGTTCAGGGTCCCTGCTTGTGAACTAAGGATGAAGTCCATGAGATTGTCTGTCTGTCTGGCTCTCTCTCCCCCACCCCGCTCGATTCGTCTCATCTAAATCGCTGCATCACAATTCATCAGAAAATTATGAACAAAGCAGCAAAGAGAGCCCCCCCACACACAGCCGCCTGTGCTTTCAAACGTAATAAGATGATTAATTACACGTCTTGAAAATGTGTGCGACAAAAAACGTCAATATTTGTTGTTCTCTTGCTCACGCATCAACTCACTTTCCTCGCCATCCATCAAACTCACTCTTTCTTTTTCTTCCTATTTTCTCCACGCCCCTCCATCCCTTTTGTCCGCTGACTTGCATTACTGCACTAGCACCCTCTGCTGTAAAAGAAATCACCTGAGAAGTTGGAGGGAAAAATACCCTGATTGGCTGGATTAAACTTTCAACCGTTCAACCAGAGCTGGGCTCCCACTTATGACAATATTCTGCCTACAAGTGTGTGTAAAGCAGGCCATCTGTGACCAGGTTGTGTGTGATGATACTGTAGGATACTGTGAACACACAGACACACACAGACATAAGAGGGTTTTATGGAGTAGGGGGCGTTCATAATGACCAGGGTAAACATTAAGTAGATAGCATTAGAGTGGCTTCAGTTAATTTTCACTGAGGGCCTCTTTGCATTAGTGGTCAACAGAGCAATCCACTGCAAACACTATTGTGGCAGACTTGCTCTTGAGATAATGGACACACTGGCATGCGTGCGCACACACACACACACACACACACACAGGTCTGACATGCTTTTCCTTAAAATCTGAAAGGTAAAGATAAAATCCCGGGAAAATAAAGATTAAAAAAAGGTCATTGTAGCAGCAGATAACACTGACATGATTAGTGTATTAATTGATCAAAAGGGAATTAACTGATTTCAGTTGTGATGGTCAGTTACTTTAATCAAAGCAACACACAGGTCACAAGCACACACAACACTTAACTTAGATTAAATGTTAAATTTTTGCTGCTGGTTTTTTAAAGTAGGAGGATTGTATGTGACTAATATGGTCCTTTAAGTTGCGTACTCTTATAAATAACATCCAAAAAGATCACATTTGCTTTGCAAAGTTAAGATAATTCTCTCTCCCGTTATCATAATTGTATTATAAGTTTGTGTCTCCCTCTGAACCCTCCGTATCTGACCGTGCAACTGAAGTTTAGGAACTGTTGAGGTGGATAATCCCACTGCATGGGTCACCGGACCTGACTCACATACTGGTACATACCTACTGAACCTTGAAACAACATCCTGCATAAAATCCCTGAAATGCTGTTTTTACCTTCCCATGTCAGACAAAAGTGAAACAAACAAACTTCCAAGCACCCTCGATGTACAATGATACAGACATGTTTTATTGTGAGTGACATATACATCAAGATATTCTTAATTTATCCATGCTATGTGTTTTTGGAGTCTGACTAACATCTCAGACAAAAATGTAACATGGCAGTAAATAACGATGAAACACTGACTTCGCCCTCCGTGGACTCAGTAGTATGTTTCCTGCTCCACCCAACCTAGAAACCAAAAGAAGACAGAATTAGGGACATGGTTTTTGAGATGTTTGGCCTCATATTTAGGGTCTGAATTCTCTTCTTTCTTACACAATTAAAAATAACAGATATAACAAGATGGCTGACTCGGCTGTGACCCTTAACTTAGCGCTTAGGCCGCAGGATGATATGATCCCTCACGATGGCTGACAGTGATTCAAAGAAACAAGACAAGGAACCGTGGTTTGTGTCGTATCATTACATGGATTCACGATCAAATAAAACTGCATCAGAAGTTGGTGTGAGTCTAAGGTTTGGATGCCTGAGCTATGTGGTTTAGCATATTTCGCCAGGCCCCACTGAGCCCAAAGCTACATTTTATTTTAGGCCTGAAACACTGGGAATACTTGTGCTTCACAGAAGGCTAAAAAACACTGGGCTGGAATCATGTTTTCCTATTTTGAGTGAAACTTTATTCAGCCGGAGGTTAAAAATAATCTGAAGGACGTTTAGCTACGAGTGGAAAATTTTAAATTGAAAGGATTTTATTTGAGTAAAACTATTCAAATAAACCTTCAAATATGAACTTGTTTTTTTTAATTCATTCATAGCTTGAATGTGTGTCAGCCTAACTTGTCTTTTCTGTCTGATTGTAACACATCATTCACCATGGATGGGCAATGAGATGTTCACTGATCTGTGCTGTGGGGCTCAGATGTAGCAGACACAGCTGCATCAGAGCCAGCCCTGCATGCAGGTTCTGCTGAGCTCTGTGGGTGGAACGAGGCATTAACAAAGGCAGGGTTGAGGGTTCAAATCCCACTGGGCCCTGCCATCTGCCACAGTTCACTGATCTGTATGGAGACCCAGTTGTGCTAGTGATAAAGGACACATGCGTACATACAAAAATAGAAACAGGGGGCACATAAAAAGCTCACGCCAAACACACCATCGTGCCATACCATCATATTGTAACCTTTTATGACAAAATTCACTAATACGCTGCCTTTATGCTCTGTATTATGCATC